TGTTCGTCTTCGTACTCGACAAACGCCTAAAGAGGAAATTGTAATGTAGGGGAATACATCTTTTACTGGAGGGTAACGAACTTCATCTCTCATATAAGAGCCATGTGGTTTTTAAGTATGCTAATGTATGACCTATAGAATGAGTACAAAGACCTTAGGAATAAGTCGCACAAGCGCAAGAAAAAGGGATGACTTGGGTGGGACGCGTTACCGCGTCACAATGTCCCACGAGGTGCGCAAAGTGGGACGCGTTACCGCGTCACGCTGTCGTCAACGTGTTAACTAACAGCACTATGAGGTTTATTGTGCATATTACACAACGCAGACACACTGATTAATGAAATGAATGAATTTTATCGGGACAGGGTTCCAAGTAAGATATCCTATTAAATAAGTCACAAGTGTAAGTTTCATACGGTAGAAAAAAGAGGGGTGTAAAGGGTGTAAGCAGAGCCTAGTTAGGTAAGTTGGCGCATTATGTATTTTGAAGGTATTTCTGATTTACAAATTAATTTCATAAAAATTCCGGGAATCCAGATAATGCATAAAGTTAGACGACTTTACAGCCTGCGTTTTCTCCTAGGAGTTCTCTGGGGATAGAAAAGAGATAGAGCCAGGCGTATAGACAGAGCTTCACGACAAATCTATCACCCCACCCAAGTTACGCGCTATCACCTACAGGTAACTCTGCATGGAATCTCCGTATTTTCTTACTCATACGATTAGAGTAGCGTCCGTCTTTGAGTTGTTTTGACCGATCTGTCAACCAGCCAACGCCTCTAACCCACTGTTCCCATCTCTCCAACACAAAAAATACGCAAAGGAACCGTATAAAGTAAGGAGAAGAGGTCTGTATCCATATGAATATTACTTCATACCTGTTCGGCACAAGTGTGGCTCTGATAATAAGGGATAAAATGGAAGGCAGGTGGGTACTAAGCGCAGAAGAGACTTTTAAATAGAACTTTTTAAAATAATTTGTTTCTAACGTGACGCAATTACGTGGGCAAGCTTTCTTACCCTCTATAGGATTTCCGACTACTGAAATCGTGCTTAATTTCCGCAGCGTGAAACAAACAAAGGGAGCGCAAATGAATTAACTACTGTTCATTTTCGTGGGGAACAAAAGGGCTGAGGTGGTGACAGGCAAAAGGCGCTTTCACCATGTGAGGTAAAGTGCGACTACGTCATCAAATTTTCCTCATTTTTCTGACGGCAGCCTCTTACAGCTCCTCCCTTTCACAGAGAAGAATTAAACCTCATTAGTCATGGGAATCGCTGCGCGGCCAACTTTTCATCAACCAGTGGGGTAATGGATGAGTATTCGACGTATACAACCCTTGGGTTCACGGGGATGGCTCGGATTGATACCTTCAACCTTCCATCTGACAGCAACTAGCCGATCTGGAACCGTAACGACATAACTAATTAAGACTGATGCACTGCCGGGACCAATTTCGTTTCAGTTAGCGTCAATAATTCGTTAGGTTATGGCAAAATAGGCGCTATCGCAATATACGGGGGCATTGTGATGGCAATGCTTTGAAACTGGGTGAAATCTTCCTTTTTTTCGAAAACGTAACTAACCTTGGGTGGGGAAGGAGAGACTCCAGAGTCTGTGAGCTATTTTCATTAGCTGGAGGTGTTGCGTCTCCTAGGCTTAGTCTCAAAGGATGCCCCCGTATCTTGCGATAGCACCGAAACCTATTTGAATTTTATAGTGCAGGTCACCTTGTTATGCGCTAAGGAAACGATGTTGAAATTTTCTTACCGTTCAGATTTTCCAAAGTGTAAAATATTTATTTTATAACTTCCTTTATTTCTACTTTTTACTTTAAGATCAAATTCTTCTTCACAATTTTCACAGTATGGCTACAAATTATGATAAAGCGAGAAATGGTATTAAATCCAGAGTAACTCGAGGTTTAACCAAAAAACAATTTTCTCTAATCTTGAGATGAGCGGCTTGAGAGAGCTGCGCTAATGAGATAGACGTTGTCGCTCAGTTGGCGGCAAAGAAATTGCATTTTCGCGCGGACCATATGGTCCACTACACGATCACATTAACCCATTCAATGGTGTCGTACACTCGTAGTGATTAATCCGAGCAACAATAATTCCTAGTTCAATTATAAGGCTCCATCCGATAACGGCAGGAAATAGGGGAAATCATCACAAATGAATTGCTATACTTAACGGGAACTAGATCAGTTCCAACGCCTAACGCGGAAAGTTGTGGGGTCATACAACAATTTGATGTTCTTATTTTCTTACAACAAATCAATTACCTGGCTTTTTCCTTTGAGCATCATGTAGTTGGAAAGCGGACCATAAGGCACGCACAACTGAATAAGCTCGACATCGACCATGTCTGGTGGAATATTTCTGAAAGGAGATCTACTCAGCATGTTCCGATGTTTCCAAGCAGATGGTTAAAGGAATCTTCCGCGGAAAATGCTCCGCCCTCATTACCACAGAAAACGTTACCTTAAAGGAATCTTCCAGGAAAGAGTGATCATTTTGTCTTGTGTGTAGGATTAGTATACAACTACTAAAAATAAAAATCTCTTAATGTCTGAGCTAGGACCTAAGGGGTATCGTTTTTCTGTGGTCATGGAGGCGGAGCATTTTCCGCGGAAGATTCCTTTGAAAGAACGGTTGCCCGGCGATTCTTTCGAAAATACGCCGTGCACTCGTCGCTTTCAATTACTTTTCATACTGTTGAGGCCTTATTGGCCTACACCACGCCTTCCGAGGATCGACCGACCTTCGAAATCCTTTTGTTATTCCTAAACAACTCTGATGAAGAACAGGTTCCATTCCCATGAACCAATGTGATGATTTGAGAAAGCGCCTTCAGAACTACTCACTTCCCTTTCAACTCCTAATGCATATGAATCTCAGTACAGGAGTGGCAAGCCGCAATCTAGCAAATGAAAGGTAACATAATTCAGCAAACTAAGCCAGAACCTGAAAGGACTACGCGTGCCAGCCCTGGCCGCTGAAAAAAAACACTATAAATTAAGGCTACGGATCCGCCAACTACGCGGTGATTGCCAATGTTAAAAAAAGAATAAAAAAATGAAATTGTGATACTTATATGTCTGCACAAGTTAAAGAAACACTCCCTCGTAGAAAAAATGCGCATGCCAGTTGAGTTTAAAAAAAACCATCAACGGACCGTACTAAGTGACCTTATAAATAAAGTATCAATCCATGCTGTTCAAGTCGGAGGTGTTACAAGAGAGAACGAGCGTTCATAAGCCCACATCAACCGAAACTAACAAAGCTGTCCGCAACCTCGCAAAAATCCCATATCAATGCAAGAAGGTATCAGTCGGATCGATTGTGGCCAGTAGAGGCACAACCCAGTTAGAAGTCGTGTGAACGATTCTTTCGGCTGTAAGATAAACCCTAGATGACATTTACAGATGTGACATTCCTGTGCCCCGAAGTCACCCAACAAGAGCGCTAGTGCCTTGTAAAGTACGCTGCTGCAGCTGCAGGTTTTTTGCCTTTATCAGGCTGTTGTCTGACGCTCTCTTATCTGAGCACTCTCCTCGCCTAAAAAATTACCCCTCTGTCGCTTAGTCAAAAAATTCCCTTAAGCACAGCTCATTAAGGAGGTGTATAGCCCTTAGCCTACATCATTCGACGATAACTATTTTTCCCTTTTATCTCTCACTGCGCACTCTTGCATCAACAGTCGTATTGTGCGCATAGCCATCTCACTTATCCTGGTTGCATACCTTTGAGCTTCATCGCGCAACGTATGGCCTAAAAAAGAGTCTACAGTCTACAGAAATATCAAACCACAACCAGAATTCGTTAGATCTCCCCTATCTTAGCGCAATAAGAAGGAAAAAAAACAGTCCCTTTACTCGCAGCTATGAGCATTGATGTATCAAATCCAGTATAAACTTGCACAAATTCTACAAGGCCCTAGCCCAGCCGCCGGAACTTCTGCTTCGATATTGTGTGAGCAAGCGGAGTGCCTGAGCTTCCGTTGTCGTTTAAAATCATTTTTATTGTGATTCACTATTAATTAAGATATTCCCTTACAAGAACGCACTTTTCTGAAAATAAAGTAACCAAACAGTCCAAAAAAGGTTTGCTGCTTTGTTCAAGAAGTACTGTAGGACCTTTTTCTTCAGAGAAATAGGTACATCACCCAGTCTTTCCCAATCCAGCATGCCTTGCTAGCAACGACAGATGCATGATGCTCCACCTCTCATTCATCGTATCAAAAGGGTTTTACAGTAAGCACTCGTTAATAAGCTCTTGGACAATTTGATCCATTCATTTAATGGAGATCCCCATATGCACTTTCTCTATAGTGACATTTAGTGCAAATTAGGCGATAATCAGAACTCACAGATTTCGCAAACCTCCTTTTCCTTAACTCTGCTGATTTAGGAAGAAGGGCTTTGTAGAAGAGGGATTGCCTAATATCCAATAGATTTACCCAGAAAGATTCAATTTCCTTACACGAACCCCATAACGATAGAAAATAGTGAAATATTATTTTGTTGGGATAATCAAAAAATGCTAAAAATTCTACCTGTAGCTTACCAGGAAAGGATGATGGATCGAAGTGGCCATATGCAATGAACCTACACTGATGGATGTGTTTTTACACGAACATGTTTCCAAATCTGCCAATCGATTATTTGGACGGAATAATGAAGCAAAATAATGCGGTGGTAATGGTCCGGGCTCACGAACAAGAGGGCGCACGATCAATTTCCTGACGGGTGATTTGGTTACAAATTTACCCCTAGGTGATGATGGTGGTGAAGGATCCTTCTATCTCCGGAACACAAAAATCACACCTCTCCGCTGCAAAGACGTCTGTCAAGAGTTCTGCGGGAACTCTTTGTACGGGTTACTGTAGGCAAGCGTTGATCAAGTAAGGTAATTGGGAGCCTTTTCAACCATTTTGCAGCGAAGGCAAAAAAGAGAACCCGTCAGGGAATCGATCCTACGACGTCTCGCACGTGAACCCGGACTACTACCGCTGCTACTTTCCTTCATAACTCCGTTCAGAAAATCGATTGGCAGATTCGAGATCATCTTTTAAAAACACAACAAAAGGTTGGGTCTCATTGCATAAGGACCACTCTGTCCCATCCCCTTTCCTGTTAACTCAAAATTTATCTCAGTTGTAAATTATTTTGCAAAGCTAAAGTTATCAGATTATCAGCGATAGCGCCAAGACTGTTCAAACTAGTTATCTTTTGGTCATTCAGACCATCTAACCTACACTCTAACCTATTCTTGAAATCCCAGGAATGAAACGTACGGCAGCGTACAGTCGACCTCACTCCCCCTCGTAACGCCCAAAAATTTTGAACCGAATTCGAAGCTACCCTCAAACTCGTTGCGAACTGAGCGCCTCCACACCCCGGACGTTTGTGGCATAGGAGAATTTAGAAAAGCCCCTGTATCCGTGCCAGAGTTGACACGATCTAAGGTCAGTTCATCACCATCAAACGTTTAAGGGCCCGGATGGGACGTTCTGTAAGCACAGATTACATAGCTCAGGAGAATTAGGGTACGCCGTACCGACTATTAAACGGGCGCGTCAAATAGCGTGTGTTGCTGGTGCGGCCGCACACACACTCTCTATAACACGTCAAACACACAGAGTCAGTCAATTTCTGCTCTTTTTCTGAAACTTTTTTAAATCTATGAAACCTTCAAAATTCCAGCGGAACGAAACCTCCAATTTCCGAACTTCAAAAAATAAGTCAGTTTCAGAAAAGGAGCAGAAATTGACTGATTCTGTGTGTTTGACGTGTTATAGGGAGTGATGTGTGCAGCTGCACCAGCAACACACGCTATTTGACGCGCACCGTTTAATGTACGGTATACTGCCCTAATCTCCTGAGCTAGTCTTGTATTCTGTTTAACAATGCCCGAGTGTGTCTGTTAAACTGCTTTTATCATCGGAATTCAGTGCGAGTCTATGTTAATTCACTGCCACTGCAGGAGGTTGATGAAATGGGAGCAAAACTCTTTGCTCCAGACGGGAACCGAACGAGTCTCTCTCTCATTTTTCGGGCAATTGAGCCACATCACCCTGATGCTGGGATTGGTAGCAGCCCACTCCAATTCTCATCACTGATTATCAATCTATCGAATTGCACAAATGACAACCTAAACCCTCTGTTAAAGAATAGAACGCGGCACATCGAAAAGGACTAATCAATAAGCTCTTCTGTGACGGCTAAAGGGTCATTAAACTGAAGATTTACAATTATTGAAACATATTTAATATATTCTTTGTATGTTCCGTACGTCCTGTTTCATTATAGAGCAGCCTTTCGCGAGCCATCGTATGTACAAGTCAGTATTTTTATCCTCCCAGATTAGTACGGTACCAATTTACCGATCCCGGTAGGACGGAAGGTTTGGTCGGCTTACGGTCCAGAGATGATCCACGCACTGCGCGCGAACCAGGTCCGCTTGCTACTACACCACATCCACCCTAGATCACATAAATACAAGGGGAGGGCAAAAAAAAAAGACATTTTGCCTATGTCGGACTTCGGCTTTTTTCTTCGCAGAGATTGCCGTCGTTGACGGGAGTTCCTCAGCAGAGTATTCCCTAAATGTCCCTCTATAAGTAACGCAGGCCCTCCTTCACTGCCCTCACCGTCTTCAGAATATGACGTCATCTGTCACCGTCGTCGAGCTCAAGGAGGCCTACCGTAACTGCTTCAGCCTGAAGCTCTTACATAATTTCTTGATGAATCACTGTTAGTTTTACAGAGACATTCAGCTCTGACTTTGCAAAACCCCTTCAAACCCGCTCTGAAATCTCGTAAAGGCACACGATCTGTTGAGGGCCCCATTGAGTTGACCAGCGCACCTATTTCCGGGGCGCTATAATGAAGTTTTTTTTAATGAAAAATTGAAAGTGCTCTTCAATTCTGAGTTGGAAGCATTCAGTTTGAATTCAACAAATGTGATTAAATCTATTTGAATGTGGGGATGAACGCCTTTTTTATTGCCCACCCCCTCCCCCTGTACAGTATGGAGGAGTTATTCATTAGAGTGGTAGCATATTAATAACAATAAAAGGATTTTCCTCAGTTTTGTACCGCGTTTTCAAGCGAACGGCTAGCGTCTTAAGGAAGAGACATCACAGCGTGACTGAAACCTTAGCTCATAACGAGGGCGATGAAATTTCGTAATTTCAGAATGGAAAACGGATGAACATTCAGCTGCATCTGACAGGGAACATACTGAAATGCATGGAATGGCATCACTGATGCTCCTTTGAGATAAACCCACTATTGAAACATTCGCAGACACCAATTACGTATAACTTCGCTGAAATGCATGGAATGGCATCAACTGATGCTCCTTTGAGATAAACCCACTATTGAAACATTCGCCAGACACCAATTAATTTTTCATTCTTTTCTGAAAAAGGCACATCTTTTGCGAAGCAACTTCCAGTCAAATGCATTGGCTCTTTGCTGACGTTTCAAGGAAAAGCAGCAAAAATCGATAAGATTTCATTCAATATTAGTTGGCGAGAGTGGAGGGACTTATGAATAAATTCCATTTTGCATTGAAATTTTCATGAAAGACTTCAAAAACACGAAAGACACCCATACGCGAAATGACGCATGTTAGGGTGCAGTCCAGAACAACGGTACGGTCATGTACAATCAATATTTGGGATAAATGATCGGGGACAAACCAGTGCCCATTGAACCCGTATACGGCACGCCTTCGACCTCATCCTCGGCCGGAGGGACATTTGGGTGCGCATTATGCCATCCAGGGGTCAGCGACAGGATTTTGTGGACGTCGTTATCTTCCTGACCAGTAACGGGCTACCCGACAGTTTCAGAATTTATGGTTGGTGTGGGTAGGACCTGTTCTAGGAAATATAAAAACACTAGCAGCGCGCTTTGCCACTGCTCTACCTGCACCAACCAGGATATTGAGCTATAACGACTTAGAACTGAGATGATTAAATGTGGCCGAAAATTACCGTATGTGAACGACCCGTGATCGAGGTGTACTGGAAGAAGCTGAGCAGTGTGTAGGAGCGGCAATCTGAAGAATTTTCGATTAGAAGGAAAATTTATTGATTTCCCGGAAATCCATCACAAACCTGTGCGAGTGGTTGCCCAGCTAACAGTTGTGCCGTGGTGAGACCGTTCATCTGACTAATATACTGCGAATATAAGGCTGTCGGATCAAGTTTCGCCTGAGTAATGTTATAATACGATCGTTGAAGGCATATCGAATTCAGTGCTGGTTAAACAAGAATCAAATCGATTTCATTTTTGTTCCAAGCTGAATATCAAGAGCTGCATGCAAAAGGCTAAGAAACGCGGAGAATTTCTGATTAGCCAGGCGGCCATCAGTCTGATATTGACACCACCAGAATAGAAATATGTACTGACATCAGGGTGATGGTCAACGTCAGGAATCACTCCACAGGAGAATCGAATAGGCTTTTTGAGGGTAGGGAAGGGGAAAGTATTAAGTGGAAAAGATGATGTGATATTGGTAAAGGAAGTAGGACTTATGAAGGATGTAGGGTTATGTTAAGAGGGTTCTGGAGTTTTTGAGAAATTTCGGGTGGAATTTTTGCGAAATTTTGAGATTTCTGAGAAGTTACTGAAATTTTGCCTATTGGCCCTGGTGCTGGGAGGTGTTAGCCCTAGCCAAGAACAATGCCGTATTCAGCCAAATTTTCTCGACGTGTGGTAAACTCTGCCCACTACTACTGTAGCTCCCCTGGCGCTATCGTAAGAAGCCGGGGATTGTGGTGACTATGCTTACGAACCGCGTCAAACATGCCCCTTTTACTAAAAACGAGACCGAGCCCTAGAAGGCGGGGGAGAAGAGACTCCAGGGTGCATGAGCCACTTTCATTTTCCCAGAAGTTCCTGTCCCCTCCTGGTATTAGTCCTAGAGAATGCCCCGTGTATTGCGATAGCGCGCTCCCCCTGCACCATTACATCTTTTATGACTGGAAAGAAAAGTAAGTAGGAAGGCTGGAAAAAGAAATGTTCAGCCTGGAAGCTATGAGAAACGGAATACACGACTTGGTACTAGATGGGAGATATTTCTCAGCTTGGGAACCCAAATCGGCTCAAGTTATGTGGAACCCGGAAATCGGAAATCGGAAATCGAGAGGAAAATAAGAGTTAACTAGATGTTCCAGCCAAGGATCCCCTATTTCGCATGTAATGATGTCAAAAAATAAAGCTCACAGTTTTCCCTGATAAAAAGGAGAATTCAAAGTTAACTTCTCCCTCTTCGTAAGTCCTTTAAAAACCTACCTTTTTCGGTTCCGAGTCCACAGTCATCACTGGCGCTAGGAAGGTTCCATGTATTGACGACAACAATTCGTCAGGGCCTCTCTGAAAAAAAAGATTCGCAATAAAGGTTAAGAAGAATGTGAGCGAATGAAATTTTGAGACGATCTATCGATGTTACTTCGGGAAAAATCTTCTAAAAAAGGTTCCCAGGAGAGAGGTATGCTCCCGAATAGGTCATTCACTAAGATGAGATGGAGGCACGATTTCGTGCTGGCCGATCTGCCGTTAAGCAATGCTAATTGGAAAATTGAGACTAGGCACGCTGATATGTGCGAATCGGAAAGACGAGGCGACTCGAGGGATGAAGAATGTCCGTCCGCCGCAGCCGGCCGGCCACTACTGGAAACTCTCCAGTAGCGTTATGCAGTACTAAAAATCGTCACGGAAATTCCCGTCCAGTATACGCCAGCAACACCTTGACAACAAATGTGTGGCGCTGTATCGATTGCAACAATAGAATTAAGCCGCGACTTTATTGCTCTTCACCGGCTATGATGTCACAGTGGCCGTTACCAATGAATTTTTCCAAAGTAATTTGGCCGCTTTCGTAGAATTGCAGACCCCATTCGAGGCGCATTTTAATGGGAAAGGCTCCCATTCACGTTAAAAACGAATAGAAACGAAATAGGTTGGGTTTTCAAGAAAAAAAATAAAGCAAGAGCTCGACAGAATCTGCGGTGTATTGGAGCCACGTCAAGAAATTGTCTATTCAAAAGCAGCAGGCATGCTCTCGCCTCACATAAAAAGTCTAGCCGGCCTGAAAAGAGCAAGAGATACCTCAATTCCTACCCCCGTTGTTTGCTTCCTCAGGAAGATATTATAATTCAAACTATCCATAATGCAAAATGCATTTTTAATGAATTAATGCAGAAATAGCTCTCAAGAGGGGGTCATCAGCCCGTCTATTTCGTGGACCTTTCTGTAGCTATCTTTCACCCTGTGTGATGGCAGGGCGTGTAGAGTACCGAGGCAATTGGTCCTTCCTGAAGGCACAATCCGGTGTGAATCATCGTTCTCCAGACTGTAAAGCGCGCAACAAAGGCGCTAAGACCATGTGAAGACCGCTTCGACCGCTTTAGTTCTTTAGTTTTGGCAGCATGCTTGCATTTGCATCCTATTATTTATTTATTTATATAACTATTGTACAGGGATTAAATAATTGGTTTTCATCCTATTGTCCATTGCGCTCCCTCATCCATCCTGTCCCCTCTTGCGCAGTCTCACGGCACAGAAGTGAGCAGCCCTCAAGTTCAGCTGCAGTCAAGGCTTTTCCTTTTTTTCTTTACTGCCGACAAATTCGAGCAGAAACCACATCATTTAGGTCGTGGAGTGTGCCTTTAAGTCGTCAACTCGTAACACGTAACTTGCAACTTTATCTACTGCCATGTGAGTACTAGTCTTACCTAACATTTCACGCCAACGATTTTGCATATTTCCGATTTTCATACACTGCATACCAGCTACGACTCAGACAATCAAAATTTACCAAGGAACCTATGCCTTAACAAGTTCAAGTAATTTTCTCTCCAAGAACCTGTGAGTTCAAAGCAAACTAAGCACTTGCCTTAGAATTCACAAGCGACTATAGCGGCAAATGCGCCCTCTTCACCAGCTTTTACCTTTTCTCTCGCACTAAAACATTATCATGAGAAGAGGCAGCAGGGCGCCATTTCGCCGCCGAAAAACCTTCAGATGGAATCGAGATCAGGCCTGCAAGGGTTGCCTTCGACCACAAGTCTGCTTGCGCTGCTCGTTGTTATTCAAGAGAGGACAGTTTTCGCAGCGTTAGCTTAAGGCGTAGCTCAGATCTATTCTAAGGTTGTTGAGCATGGAGAAGGAGGATAGGGCGAGAGGGGTGCACATAGATGAGAGTTATACGTTCGAACGCTGCCGATGAAAAGAGGAGATAAACGTATGGTCAAGTAACTTTGCAAAGGGCTTTTCGCCCTTGTGCGCGGTTGACCTGGGCAACGAACATCCGCAATCGAGCACGCTTCGAATACCTCACACCGAATTTTAGGCTTAGTAGCCAATATATCGAAGAAAAACGACTTATGGCGCGGCGCATTCCGAATAAACTAGTAGGTGTTAGCCTTTTTGCCAATTGTTGAGAATTGAGCAGTCTCTTAAACAGTGAAGCAAAGCAACGAGTCAGCAGCAATTACTCTGAAGCTGGTTACCACCACAGAAGACACAAAAAAGGGTTGCTGATTTGAATTTGTCAAATAACTATAGTATGGGTAAAATGAAATTGAAGGTGGCTCCTGAAGATGACGGCAATGGGCGCGAGATGACGTTCTCGTGGGTTATCCTCGAGAGCCCGGAAAGCGTGGTCGGATGTAAGTGCAATGTTCCAGTAATGTATGGCGGGCCACAAACGATGCCTCCCAAAAAAACCCAAAAGAAAAGATCGCAACGTTTCAAACCCAGAATGTTTTGTTTCCAAGCAAAATCTGGCGTTTTATTGCTACCGATTGGATTCCACCAAATGGGAAAATCTTCCAAACTTTCTATCAATTTCAAGCCATTTATTGCCCATTTATACGTTTATTTATGGCTGCCCGTTGGAGATAAACCATCCTATTCAGCTTTGGGGGCCCTCGTTTCAGTACTGAAACACTCCTGGTTACCCGTGACTACCACATCGCTGAATTAGTAGGAAAAATGGTCGGCCTTACCATGACGAATTAAACATTACTAGGGAATCGGCTGCGTTCACTAGGGTAGATTTACTACTCACAGAGTGCTCAGTTACCCAGGTCTTCACGGGTGACCTCTCATAAAGCAACAACTCCAGCAGAATTCGTGTCGAGGAATCCTTTCAGGTGGTAGGATAGAGTAGCCCACGAGTATCACTCATGTGCCTGTTGTTGTGTCTCGAAAATGCGCGACAATGGCGCTAGGGCTTACAAAGTGAACTTATGGTGACTAATCTAACTTATGGACGAGATACCTCGCGCACACCCCATGATACGCAGCGTGGATTACGGCGTAGCGGCTAATTCAAATACATGCTTAGTGAGCCGTGGAGCAAGCAAGTTCAGAAAACTCGTCCGGCCCGCCCCTTCTTTATTTCAAGGAGAAAGGGAGGGGCTCTATCGGAGGTTTGCTTTGGTTTGTTTTTAATTTTCACTCAGTTCGGCATTCACAACTTCATTATCAACCACTGGACCCCTCAAATTTGATCTGAGGATGTTGCTTGAAGTTCTGGCTCCATTACTATTAGGCCTGAATGAAAGATTCGACACTCATGCAACTTTGCCCTTTCCGTGCCACTCCAATCTATTCACTTTTTTCACTCCTTAATGTCCTTCGCCGCCTCAAACTCTATTAACTATGGCTTCCGCAATATCTCACCAAATCTCGTCCAGCGTTATTTCGAGAAATCTTGACGACTACTTCTGCGAAAGGTAATCACAGGTTTCCGCTTGTTTTTCTTGACTCATCGTCTCTGACGGGCTCAACACAGCCTCGCGCCTCTGATGACCCCCCCCCCTTCCATCACCACCTTCCCCACTACCAAATCTTGTAATCTCTCAGCAGCTGGAGAAATTTAAAGAATCCTAAATATCCATAGAAACGAAGAACAAATCCCCCTATTCGCTCTTGACCAAAAATACATTGAAGGAGAAACTTCTTGAAAGGAGGAGGGTTTTAGGAACAATGACTCAGGAGGGAGATAAGAATTTAGCGATGTTCACTGACCATAAAAACCGTTCTTTGAAAGAGTTACTATGAGGAGGGAAAAAAACTAGAGTAACATAGAAAAGTATAAATCGAGGGAAGTGAGAGCGATTGGGTTACCCAATGGCGAACGACTCAGAAATGACCCGTCATTGGCCGATGCAGTTCCTGTTATCGCCACAGTAACAGCTATAAAACCTTTAGCTTTTCAAACCCCGATTTTAAATTTCAATTATTTCATGAATCTTACTTTTTACTTGTTCACTTTTGCTAAATCATTTCATGTAAGTTTCAAAAGATAAAAATGAACTAACAAAAGCTGTAGAATTAATACAACTGCGTAATAAAAAATAACTAACAAAAAGCTGGTAGTACATTAATACAACATGGGTGCAGTTGTTAAAATGTTTCGCACTATTGAGCTCACGATCGGCTTTTCATAGCTCGACACAGGGTCTGCGAGGCTAATGTGCCTGCGGGGGTGGGCGCTTGTAGAGATCCCGAGGCTAAGCCGAGGAGCAGGCGACTCCGGCAGAGAATTAGGCATTGCTCACGCCACCCGAAATCCTTACGCTAGACGCTAAAAGTGAGTTTTTCAGGAGCTCAACCGGTCGTTGCAGGTGGGGGCAGTTAAGATCTCTTTGATCATTGTGTTGCGCTTTGGGATTAAGGCCGTTGATTCAGGGGAAGAATGCTGGGGAGGGGAGGATATGTGTTCTCCCTGGCGCTCTCCTCCCTAGCATTTTCGACTCTAATACGATGTCGAGTCCCCCTTCCCTGTTCCCTCCCCCCTTCCCCCATAAGAAATAACACCCGTTTTTGACCTCATACTAACTCATTGCGCTCCAGTTTAGTTTTTAAGACGTTTTGTTAGAGTTTAAATAAAAAGAAAAAAAAAAAAAGATAAAACTGAATAACAAATAATACCACCGGCAATATTGAGGGGACACAGAGAGCCACGAGAAAGCAGCTCTTTATGAATTTGGAATTATTAAGCAGCTAAGCAAAGAACAAACAATCTTTTGCGGCCGTAGCTATAGATTGTTTTCTCAGGACGGTAGGAGAGACAGCTGTGAACGATTACCTTTTTGACGGCTTTGCGGGGCCGAATCGGCGTTGAGAATGAATTCATAGATTTTCGTGAATTTATTGTGAATTGCTGTGGTGACAACTGCAGAGTATTCAACAGCAGACGGTCTCGTTTGTCGATCGATCGACATCAGAAGTGTGCGTTCAACGGGGCGACGAAGCGACGTTGAGGCAGAAGCCCCGTCGACGATGAGCCGCGCTATGCCATGATTAAGCACCGACGACTCATCGTCGCCGCCGATGAAATGCCAACGTGCCACCATCATGTTTCCGTTAAACTTTACATCCACCACATGATGAGCATGGCAATGACGAGGGGTTTCATTCAATAGCAACACAGTCCGCGCACGAGAAAATTGCCCTCATCGACGACAGGTTATCATTTTCTTACTGGCATTTACCTGACCATCAAGTTAACCCGATATGAATTGTCCGTATACGAATACAATCCATACAGCGAATCTCGGAGCAAAAACGAGCCCTTTACGTTCCCTCCAAACTCCCAGAATAAACTGCAAGGATAGTCCAGAATTGAGCCAGATCCGACCAAGATCAAGTTACTGCGTTCGCGTCTTTCAAGACGTGTAACCACTGCATGAGACAAAACTCTAAAATTACTATAGGCTAGTCTAGCGGGGCACTATACGGAATAGCTGGAAAGGTCCTAAAATATTAGTGAATATTGAGTGCATGGCGCATCCGAAAGAGACCGCCTGAAGAGTGCTAACTCCAGACCTGAAGAGCAACCAAACGCGAACTGTTCCATCGACAACGATTTGGGGCCGTGTCAACCGATACTGAAGTACCCGTGTAAATTCTTTAGAGATGGCAACTCTGTGTCTGAAAAATGGCCCCAATCCATTACTAAAGTCATCTGGTACCCCACATCCAAGAGCACTTTAGGCCGATGTCAGACTTTGCGATTCGCGCGATAGCGTCCGCGGTCGCGTTGCGGTACCAGCCAATTGAGTGATTCACTGGCCGCGACGCGACCGCAGACGCTAGCGAATCGCGCGATTCGCAAAGTCTGACATCGGCCTTACTGTGTGCAGTACTAAGCTCTGTAAGTTGGGCGAGAATCCGACTACTTGATAACGCAGCTCAAGCTTTCTCACGGTGAAATTCATTCCTACTCCCGTACAACCTCATTGTCATGCAGAAGATGGGCGGGCGGGGTTCTTGGGCGCAACTTTATGCCCAATAGAATTAAGAAGTTGTAGCGGCCAGCTCATTGTAATTCAACAGGCATCACAGCCCTGACGCAGGTCTTCGCTTCTTGGAAAGAATGGCTGGGGAAAACTCCACATAATTCTATGGGGATCAACTCTTCGAGGATTTATTATCTAAGAGCTACTGTCCTGACTGCATAATCTGGGAAGCACGGGTGCAACAAACTAAAGTTGATCAAAAGAAGGTTGAGGATCGGTCTACCGAAAAGAACATATGCCGTGAAAGGGAGCTGTATAAAAAAACTGGCCTATGGACCAGACGGCACAGCTCTTTTTTCATAACCCTCGACAAAAAATCTTCAAAATCTTGAACTTTCAAAAAGTGAACCGCTATCGCGTGCACCATAGTGTTTAAAGAGATGACGAAAAAGCAAAGTTCAGGTGCAAAGCACTGATTAATCGCTTTGGAATGCGCCATGCAACAAATTATATTTGAAAGCAGCACAACACTGGGTTCGGCTCAAACAAGAACAGCATCAGGTATAGAACAGCATTCATATCAGCGCTTCATCTGTTCTAGAAAACTGGTCGCAATACGGACCACGAAAGAGAAACTTTTCCTAGAATAAGGCTTGAGTCGAGCTATTAACTGCCTTAGTTCATTGCGACGCCTCTGGCAACAGCTCTATCCCTGCACGGGAATATCAATCCAATCCAAATTCTTCAATTGCTCTTCACATTTACTAGAACTGCCTTCCAGATAGCGAGCGATCTTAAGCCGCATTATGAGGATCAAATAAACAGAGCTGTGAGAGCGACTAACAAATGATAGCATTTATAAAACAATTGATAATAAGTAACAGAATGTATTATACTTCCAGTAAAAGTGGATACAGAAAAAAGTATAGCTGCAGTTTGAAACGTTTCCAAGCGCTACACCAGTACTGATCTTCCACATCTCCTTTACCTCTTCGATAACAGCGAATGAAATACAAATATTCTGTAACTCCTATGAAGTTAGGGTAGGAAACCGGAGAAGATGAAGTAATGCCGCTACCAAAAATTTACATACGCGG